TGTGTGTGTGTGTGTGTGTGTGTGTGTGTGTACGGACATGGGGCTGAGAAGGTGGCTCAGTGGTACAGTGCTTGCCTTGCACATCTGAGGCCCTGGGTTTGATTCTTCAGCACCACATAAGCAGAAAAAGCCAGACGTGGCGCTGTGGCTCAAGTGGTAGAGCACTAGCCTTGAGCTGGAGAGCTCAGGGACAGCACCCAGGCCCAGAGTTCAGGCCCCAAAACCGACAAAATATATTTTTTTTTCACACACATATACATATATATTTTTAAAAATTTTAATGTAAATAAGGAAAAAAATCACATTACATGCCAGGCAAGTGCTCTTCCACTAATCTATATCCCTAGCCAGGCAATGACAATTTTAACAATGAAGTACTCACAGTCCTTGCTTCTCCTATTCGTCTTAAAATGATACCTTCTGCCAATAAAGCCTTCCCTGCTTCCACAAATAACTTCTCTTCATCTGTTTCTCCAAGATTCTGCAATTCAAAATACTTCTCCACAAATCTGGAAACCCAAGCAGACTCATCTTAGACCTGTATGTTAGCGCTGTCAAGACACGGTGATGTAAGTTGGGGACTAGCTCAAGTGGTAGAGTGCCTGTGTGGATACAATGCCCCAGAATCAAACTCCAGTACAACAAAACTGACATGTTATTGTTACATAGTATCAAGCGTTCCCTCAATATTATCTTCCTACAGGAACATCTTTTTCTAAAGTGTACTCGAAAACTTCTCGAACTGATAATTAATCCTTGAAGATAGGGGAAATAACTCAGGACTTCATGACTTACCGTTGACAGGTAGACTTGAAGTTAGGATTGAACAGATCAAAAGCTTTTGGACCAGATCCATAGGTAGAATAAAATTTCCTAGAAAATGTAAAAAGTACAATATCAATCTCCAATAATAGTAAATATGTAGAAATGCCTCTGGGATTTGCCTGGGTTAGCTTCAAAAGCCTCCTGAGTTGCAAGGATTATAGGCATTAGCCACCAATGCATATGTAGCATAATCACACTGTGCATCACCTCTATCTAGTTCCAAAAGAACTCCATTAAGTAGTCAGTTCTCACCTCCCATCTTCCCTTTTGAACTTAAGAGACTAAGAGACCATATCAAATCAATGCGTGTACACTGTTTTCAGTTGTTTGCTACCCTAGGCAATGCTGCAAGGATTACCTGCACCCAGAAGTCCCAGTATACTCTGCAAGTACATGAGGCAAAAGCTCAAAGAAATGATTATGGGATCAAGGCATGCACTTATTTACTTGGAAAGAAGCCTTCTAAATTACTAAAACAGTGGTATCAATTTATACTCACATTAGTAATGTGTGAGTATCGAGTTTACTATATCCTGACCAAACTATATATTCCAACTCTTTTATCATTGCCAATTTGGTAAGTGAAATATTATAATTAATTGTACTTTCAAATTGCTTTTTCTTTAATGAAAGAGACTGGCCATCTTTACACATTGCAAAGAAAACTGAATTTCCTTACTGCATGTCCTTTCTACATTCTTTGCCCATTTTTCTATTTGGCAGTTGCTATGGACTGAATGTTTGTGTCCCCTAAAATTCTTACAATGAAATTCTAATCCCCAAGGGAATAGAATTCAGGGACGAAACCCTTGGGAAATTATTAGGCCATAAAATAGTGCACTGAGAAATGAGACAGAGGCTTGCTTTCTCTCTTTGCTCTTCTCCATGTGAGAACATAGCAAGACAGCCCTCTTCCAAATCAGGAAGAAAGCGCTCTCCAGAATTTACCTTGCTCATACCCTGACCTCATATTTTCCAGCCTCCAAAGTTATAACAAGTAAATTTTTGTTTATAAACCATCCAGTCTGTTGAATTACAGTAACCCAAACCAAGTGATTAGTTGCTGATCAATTTATAAGCATATTGTAGTTATGTAAATAGGAAATCAGTTGTTTGTCAAATATGCTACAAACCTTTAAAAAAAAATTGGGGGGGGGGGCTGGGAAGGTGGCTCAGTGGTAGATACTTGCCTTGCATGCCTGAGGCCCTGTGTTCGATTCCTCAGCACCACATGAGCAAAAAGAAAAAAGCCAGAAGTGGCCCTGTGGCTCAAGTGGTAGAGCGCTAGCTTTGAGCTGAAGAGCTGAGGGACAGCGCTCAGGCCCAGAGTTCAGGCCCCACGACCGGACCCCCCCAAAAAAAAATTGGGGGGGGCTGGTAAGGTAGCTCAGTGGTAGACACTTGCCTTGCATGCATGAGGCCCTGGGTTCAATTCCTCAGCACCACATAACCAGAAAAAAAATTTTTTTGGTTGCCTTTTGTACTGTTTTGTGCAGAAATTTTTAACATTTTCTTTTATGGCTTCTGGGGTTTATAAAGACCTTTAATACATTATTTTTTTCTTTTTTTGTCAGTCGTGGAGCCTGAACTCTGGGCCTGGATGCTATTCCTCAGCTCTTCAGCTCAAGGCTAGTGCTCTACCACTTGAACCGTAGCACAACTTCTGGCTTTTTTTGTTTATGTGGTGCTGAGGAATAGAACCCAGGGCCTCATGCATGCAAGGCAAGCACTCAATCACTGAGCTACCTTCCCCTCTCTTTTTTTTGTCTTCCAATATTGCTGTTTCACTTTTTACATTTAGTTCTTGACAACACTGGAATTTATTTTGCTATTAAATTCTTGAAACTATGAAAACCACCATGTTAGATAAGGGGATGGGGGGAGGTACAAAGATAAAAGTAAAGGTTTAACTAATTATGTACTGACATTAAGAGAGAGACAGAGAGAACACGCAGCAGCAAAACACTTCACCTTCTCCAGAGACCACTTCCAGTGCTATCCATTGAAGGATGGATGAGGATAATGTAAATGAAGAACAAAAGCATCCTAATCAAGTTCATGCAATGGATCTGAGCAAAAAAAGGTACTTAAAAATTTCTACTGGGCCAGGTGCTAGTGGCTCACGCCTATAATCCTAGCTACTCAGGAGGCTGAGATCTGAGGATCACTGTTCAAAATCAGCCTGAGCAGGAAAAGTCCATGAGACTCTTATCTCCAATAAACCACCAGTAAACCAGTGGTGCTATGGCTCAAGTGGTAGAGTACTAGCCTTGAGCTGAAGAGATGAGCTGAAGGACAGCGTCCAGGCCCAGAGTTCAAGACCCACGACCTACAAAAAAAACTCTACTGGGGAAAAACAAAGGATGGGTAATAATACTTAAGAGGAAATGTACTCATTACCTTACTCATATAACTGTAACCCCTTTGTACAATATCTTTACAATAAAATATATATGTATGTGTGTGTGTTATATAATCTCAAATTCCCCCAAAGATCCCATATTCATCTCTAAAAGATCCACACAGAGCAAGAACATACTTGTTCGTCTACCTTGAGAAAGTACTATGGAAAAAAAGGAGGGAGAGAGAGAAGAGCTGGGCACCACTGGTCCATGCCCATAATCCTAGCTAATCAAGAGACTGAAATCAATCTGAAGACCAGGCCAGGAAAATGTGTGAAATTTTTATCTCCAATTACACACACACACACACACACACACACACACACACACAGAGTCAGAAGTGGAGCTCTGATTCAAGTGGTAGACTATGCCAGCCTTGAGCCAAAAAGCTCAGGGACAGCACCCAGGTCCTGAGTTCAAGCCCCTGGACCAGCACCAAAAAAAGAGGTGGGGGAGACGACCTTACTCGTACTGTTCGAGTAAAACCATGAGATACGGTTAGCCAACGGTTAGCACAGTGCCTAGTGCTCAGGAAACAGGTGTCTATAACTTCAATGATGGATCAGCTACTGGACACCGAAGTCCACTTCGAGAACTTTTTCCTCCCAGGGTAAAGGGGGCTGAGATGCTTGCTACATTCTGACTTGATATACAAGACCGGCTCTGTGCCCCTGACTCGACTGGTTATTTGTTATCAACTGGCTTCAATTCTGGCGTTCGGTTGCGTCCCGATCGCTACGGGGACTGTGCACTCACGCTCTGATCCGATCCTCGTGGTAAAAGATGTCCTGAATGGAAGCTTTGGCTTTGCCGTAACGCAAGCGAGGCCTCTGGAACACCGGCTCCTTCAGCGGCGGAAAGGCCTTGTAGACGTCATACCACAGGGGCTTCTCCTTCAACACCGACGCCCGGAGCAGGTCCCGGGTCCTAAGACAGAATCGAGCCCCTGGATCAGCCTGGCAGAGCCCGGAACAGCCAAGTCACTACGCAGCATGGACCCGAGGAGGAGGAGGAGGAGGAAGCAGGGCCGTTCCCACCTCCACGGAAGACACGGCCGCCCCCCGGCGCCCCGCTCCCCTCCACCCCATCCCCACCGGGCCACACCCCACGCGCGTCCCAACCCCGGCCACCCCGTCCCGCCACCGAAAGCGCAAAGGACGGCCCTTCCCTGGAGAGGAGGCCGCTCAGCCTCGCCCTCCCTTCCTCCTCCGTGGACCTCCACGGTGGGTGAGCTCGGGAGCCGCCGCCCGGGGCCGCCGCCGCCCGGGGGCGCGCCCACCCCCAGCCCGGAGCACGCACCTCGTGAAAACACTGCCCACAGTTTCCAGGCGGCTCCCCGCCATGGCGCCACTTGCAGGGACACAAGTCCGACCGCCACCGGAACCGGAAGCGCTCCTAAGGCCAGGGGATCTAAGTTGCTGGCCGAGCCCAGGATGGCATGTGACGTCTCAGCCCCAGCCAGAGAGCGGAGCCAGACAGAAGCAAACGATGGGCGAACCTGGCGCTCCGGGGGGGCTGGTCGCCAGCTTCAGACAGGAGCACTCGATTGCAGAGCTGAAAGGAAAGGAGCCAAAGTCAAGCAAGAAGTAATAAATGATGGACCTGGGGAGGAGCACGTATGGTTTTTGTTTTGTTTTGTTTTTTGGCTTTACCCTTTCTGGCATTGTGAAGCCAGGTCCTCTCCAGCAGGTCAGGCTGTACAGAGGAAATATGATAGGAGAGTGAATGGAAAACCAGGGAATAATAGAGGCAGAGATCTGAGCCCTAGGGCTTTTTATGCTCAAGGCTAGCACTTTACCGCTTGTGTCCCAGCTCCACCTCCGGCTTTTTGCTGGTCAATTGGAGATAAGAGTCTCGTGGACTTTCCTGCCCAGGCTGGCTTTGAACCATGATCCTTAGATCTCAGCCTCCTGAGTAGCAACAGTTACCATTGTGAGCCACCAGTATCCGGTTCCAAACCTAAATCGTGACCAGTGGGAGATTATGCAGAAGGAAACTGAGGTCCAGGAAGGAACATCACTTAACCAGGTCTTGCTCACCCCTAGGCCTGATTCCTCCACCTGTCTTTGTAGCACTCACCACCTAAGTCCCTTGTTCCCAGAGAGCCACTGGATCCACACTCATAAAGATGCTGTTTGTAACTGGTGTTCCCTCCCCTGGAAGCAAGCAGAACCAACCTGCCGCAGCTAAGCTTGAAAACCAGTGTCCTGAGCAAGCAAATTAGATAAGGAAACTTGGTCAGGGGGAATTACGCTCTTAGTGATAAACTGTAAAAAATAATAAAGGGCCAGGGTTGTATGTGAATGACCACACTCCAGGGGAAGCAACCCATAAAAATCAAAACAGCTAGGTTCCTGTGGCTCATGCCTGTAATCCTAGCTAATCAGGAGGCTGAGATCTGAGGGTCACAGTTTGAAGCCAGCCTGGGCAGGAAAGTCCATGAGTCCCTTTATCTCCAATAAACTAGTAAAAACAAGAAGTGGAGCTGTGGCTCAAGTGGTAGCGTGATATTCTGGAGCAAAAAAAGTTCAGGAACAGCACCCAGGCCTTGCATTCAAGCCCCAGGACAGGGACACACACAGACACATAAAGAATAATTTCATCATGGTATTTGTTCATGAATCATCATCCTGCCACTGTTGTTTTGTACGAGGGAGAGAAAATTATCAAATGAAAAGTGGCTGGAAATGTGGCTCATGCCTTCTATGGAATTCTGTGTAGCTATTAAAATAAACTAGGACTGGAGGCCTGGCTCTAGGGGTAGAGCACCTGCCTATCAAGCCCTAGGTCCTGGGTTCCTGGTAGAGAGAATGGAGAATATCTTTCTTCCTTTCTTTATGTCTCAGTCATTTGCCAGGTAAAGAGTTCATATTCAGGGCTGGGAAGGTGGCTCAGTGGTAGAGCGCTTGCCTTGCATGCGTGAGGCCTTGGGTTCAATTCCTCAGCACCACATAAGCAGAAAAAATAAAAAAGCTGGAAGTGGCGCTGTGGCTCAAGTGGTAGAGCATTAGCCTTGAGCTGAAGAGCTGAGGGACAGCGCCCAGGCCCAGAGTTCAGGTCCCACGACCAGATTCAAAAAAAATAAATAAATAAAAGAGTTCATATTCAGGGGCTGGGAAGGTGGCTCAGTGGTAGAGTGCTTGCCTTGAATGCATAAGGCCCTGGGTTCGATTCCTGAGCACCACAAAAGCCGGAAATAGCTCTGTGGCTCAAGTGGAAGAATGCTAGCCTTGAGCTGAAGAGCTCAGGGATAGCACCCAGGCCCAGAGTTCAAGATCCACAGCTGACAAAAAAAAAAAAAAGAGTTCGTACTCATAAGTGAACTTCATAATACAATGAATGTTTTGAATCACATACAGGTCTCTACGGATTCTATTGTCTTTGTCAACAGAGCAGAAAAGAGCCTGCAGTCATCCCCAAATCCTCCCACTCTAAAGGGAGTGTCAAGCATCATTGTGTTAACTTTCTGAAGCCACAGCCTCCTGGGTAGCTGCTATCCTCATTACACAAAAGAAGGTAAAGCCTCAGGAGGTTAAGTATCTCCTCTGACTGGCAACTAATAGAGCCAGGATCCAGCCCAGCCTGGGCTGCTGCCAGAACCCCATAGGACTACCTAGTGCTAGGGACTGGAGGGCTAAGGGAGAAAACTGTTCCCAGAGGCAGGGAGTGTGGTGACGTTTGAGCCAGGGCAGAAGTGAAAGCTGGACTTCAGGGCTGCCTCAGGGCCCTCTGGAATGAGAGTGCACACAGCACAGGCCCCTGGGCCAGCTGTTGGAGGCTCTCGGCTCCTAGTCCCAGGGAGGTCTACAAGGCTTCTCTGGGGAGAGCAAACACATTCCTAGCTAAATATAGCCTAACCACACCTCAATAACTTTCTAATTCTGTCTAAGCCAGAGCTATCTGCCATCTTATACACACACACCCCCTTCTCTCCCACCAGGGCCTGCTTCCTGAACCAGCTCAGTTTCAGTGCTGAAGAATTAGGAAAGGAGCCAAATGCTGATGACTCATACCTGTAATCCTAGCTACTCAGGAGGCTAAGTTTTAAGGACCCAGGTTCAAAGCCAGCTCAGACAAGAAAAGTCTGTGAGACTCTTATAACCAATTAACCACAAAATGCCAGAAGTGGAGCTGTGGCTCAACTGGTAGAGAGCTAGCTTTGAGCAAAAAAGGTCAGAAACAGGGCCCAGACCCTGAGTTCAAGCCCCAAGATTTCCCTACCCCCCTCCCACAAAAAAGAAGGCTCAGGGAGGAAAGCCAGAGACTTAATACCTCCATGGGGGAGACATTTCAAGACAAGACTTTTTTCTATATCACCTTGAAGTAGTCCCTTTGTCTTTCTGAGCCTTTGAAATTTCCCTGTCCAGAATCACAGTATGCCATTACCGTTGACAGCCAGAATGCTGGTAGATAATGTGAAGAGATTTTAGGACCGTGGGAGTATGATTGATCAGAAACATTGTGAACCTACAACAGAAGTTCACACACGTAATCATGACAAAGGAGAAGGTTGTGGTGCTATTGGGAACAGAAAGAAGGGACATTTGAGGCATCCTGGGGTGGGACCCTAGCCTCTCAAAGCTGAAGGGGGCGGGCACCTAGTGAGTGCTGGCAGAGGCCAGTCATAACTGTGCCAGCATCGCTGTTGCCATCCTGAGCCATGGATGGCCACCTGCGAGTGCGGCCCTTTGATGATAGTCCATCAGTTGCTTTATTGTTTTATTTTCTTCAGAACAGATCTGCTCTTTCCAGAAGCACTGGAGCACTTAACCTGACTCAATGCTGAGTCCTATAGACAGCAACCATTCAGTCAGGGAGATGGAGAGGCAAATACATATGTGATAAGTAATGCTCTGCATAGCTTGTTGGAATCCTTGTATTTGTTGGGGGCTGTATAATACAGTATCACATAGTAGGTGGTAAAAAAAAACAACAACAGAAATTTATTTTCCCACAATTCTGGAGGTTGATGTCCACGTTCATGGTGTCCTCTGTTGTAAGGCTGGTGGCTTCTGAGACAAATAACTCCCCTCCCCGTGTCTTCATAGGGTCTTGTCTTTATGAGTGAAAATTTGTGACCTAATCCTTTGAGAGAACAACAATCTTATTAGGCTAGCTAGGCTCCACCCTTCTGAGCTCATTTCAACTCAATTTTGAGGCACTGAGGGTCAGGACTTTCAGATACAGAAGTTGAAGAGGCATAGTTGAGACTATAATATTGGTTTGTAAGTGTGCATGCTGAGTAGCTCTTATTGGTCCTCTGCCATTCTCCACCGTGATGTGTACCACAGGACCCTGACTTCTGCAGACTGTATCCTCAGCCCCTGGCTCTCTACTTCCAACTTCCAGCTGGAATCCAGTTAGTACTCAATGGCAGGCCTTGGGGGGGGCAGGGGGGAGGGGCGGGGGGGGGAAGGAGGAGCACGGTTTCTTTATCCTGACTCCCTTCCTGCACAAGCCAGGAACATAAAGTCACAGTCCTGAGGCCAGCTGGACAGCTCTTTACACAGCTCTGTCTCTCTGTCTCTCTCTCTCACTAGGTTCAGCTCATGAGCTTGTATCCCTTCTAGGGGGTGGAGGCTGCCTATTTCGTGCAGCTTCCTTGTATCCTGTCCACATCTTTGTCAATAATGCTCCAATTTAAGAAGTACATAGGGTTTGTCAGACAAAACAAACAAAACAAAATAAAAGAGCATTCCCAATAGGGGACCCACGTTGGTAAGTGAAAAATGGAAGCATATTGATGAAATCGTGAATGCTGCTAATCGTGTGTGGCAAAGATCCAGGGCCAGGAACAGTTTTAGTGGTTTTAAAAGACAGAAAGCAATTGTACATAGTCAATACACAGTATAAGAACTGCCAAGGGCTGGGAAGGTGGCTTAGTGGTAAAGTGCTTGCCTAGCATGCATGAAGCCTTCGGTACCACATAAATATCAAAAGCTGGAAGTGATGCTGTGGCTCAAGTGGTAGAGTGCTAGCCTTGAGCAAAAGAAGTTCAGGAACAGTGCCCAGGCCCTGAGTTCAAAGCTTCAGGACTTCCCCGCCCCCCATTAAAAAAAAAAAAGAATTATAGGCCTTCACAGGTTTGGCTATCTAGCAAGACCCAAAACAACAACAAAAATTAGAAACCCACTGACTCTTAAGATAAGGAGGATGGAAGGTAGGGAAGGAGACACTGAAGGAGGAAACAGAAGTGCCTTTTCTTTTCTCCAGGCTGTTGGGCATCACTCCCTCTTCTAGCTGAACATTGTCTTGGGACACCCACCCCTGCACCCAGCCAGGCAGGGGGAGTTCCCTGATCTCCACTCTCCCTCCTGAAACTTCTCTTTCCCACACAGCTCTGTTCTGTTTACGTGTTGGTGTCTGTCTAGTGGGGCCTCTTTCAGAGACTGGGCCTGCCTCTCTTTTCTGCCAGCCCACACCCAGCCTGGTGCTTGGCTCACTACTGGTTCTCAGAGAGCTTTCCAGTGAATAGATAGATGGAGAGAGTCAAGTTAGGACAAATGAGGATGCAGTGATCCCCGCCCTGCTACCCACATCTGGCCCTCTCTCTGGCCTAGCTTTCCTTGCAGGCCTTCCCAAAATTACTAATAGGGAAGATGCTGTGCTTGGATGGGACTATCCCCCACTGGGCAGCCTGGTTATGTCCATTTCCGGCTGTTCTCTGCGCATCACAGATGGATAGATTACTTTTGTGTGTTTGTTTGTGGGTTGTGGGCCTTGAACTCAGAGCTTAGAACCTGGGCACTGTCCCTGGGCTTTTTTTTTTTTTTTTTTTTAACTCAAGGCTAGCTCTGTATCACTTTGAGCCACAGTTCCACTTCTGGTTTTCTAATGGCTAATTGGAGATAAGAGTCTCATAGATTTTCCTGCCTAGGCTAGCTTCGAACCACAATCCTCAGATCTCAGCCTCCTGAGTAGATGCGATTATAAGCATGAGCTACCACCAGAGCCCAGTGATAGACTGCTTTTTATAATCTTCTGGCCTCAACCTAGTTATCTGTAAAATGGGGATAAGCTCAGCATTCAGGAGGCAAAAGCAAGAGGATCTGTAGTTTAAGGGCAGACTGGGCTACACAGGGAGAACCTGTCAAAGAAAACAAAGGATAAGAAGAAAGGCTTGTGATGAGAGGTCAATGATTTGCTAACTGCAAAATACTTAAAACAGCCTGTTACAGTAACTGCTCAATAAATATGTGGTGACAACGTCTGACTTCACACTTAGAACAGTAATGTCCTACAGCTGAACCCTATCTAAAATTGACAAGACAATTTCACATGCTGCCTGCTCTTTCCTTTTCTTCCCCTAAGGAGACCAGTTCAAGAGAGATTAGCACTTTGTGCATTGGGGCTTGAACTCAGGGCCTAGGTACTGTTCCTAACCTTCCTTTGCTTAAGGCTAGTGCTCAATCACTGGAGCCACAGTTCCACTTCAGTTTTGGTTTTGTCAGTCATGGGGCTTGAACTCTGGGTCTGGGCGCTGTCTCTGAGCTCTTCAGCTCAGAGCAAGCACTGTACCACTTGAGCCACAGTGCCACTTTCTGTTTTCTGGTGGTTTATTGGAGATAGGAGTCTTAGGGACTTTCTTGCCCTGGCTGGCTTTGAACCATGATCCTCAAATCTCAGCCTCCTTGAGTAGCTACTATTGTGCCTATTCCTGGCCAGGAAAGTCTGAATCCCTTTGGATTTTTTTCCATAGCCAAGGAATGGGAGTTATTGGGCCTGGGAACAGCAGTCTGGCCTTTTGCTACTGGAACCTAAGGCCATGGCACACCACACAAGGATGAGGCCCCTCTGAGGCAGACATTTCAGGGCTGGTGTGGGACCTTCTCTTCTTCCGAGGTCCACACAACCCCACTTGTATGAACAGGACTTGCCGCCTGGAGAGCTTGAGACATACACCTTCTGACTCGATATCTGGGGTGAGGCCTAAACTCTTCATCGCTAACAAGCTTCTGATTGATGACAGCAAGTCTGCTAGTCTGTAAATGGGATAACCAAGTCACCCAAGTTTGTTGTTGTTGTTGTCAGTCAAGGGGCTTGAACTCTGGGCTTGGGCACTGTCCCTGCACTCTTCAGCTCAAGGCAAGCGCTCTACTGCCTGAGCCTCAGTGCTACTTCCAGTTTTCTAGTGGTTTATTGGAGATAAGAGTCTCATGGACTTTCCTGCCCAGGCTGGCTTTGAACCATGATCCTCAGATCTCAGCCTCCTTGAGTAACTAGGATTACAGGCGTGAGCCTTCAGTGCCCGGCTGCAAAAATCCTCTTGACATGAGAAAGAAGAGTGACTCTTAGGACCCGGATGTAGCTTAGTAAAGCCCTTGCCTAGTAGGCATAAGGCCCTGCAATCCATCCCTACTCCTGCCTATCTATTTATTTTATTTTATTATTATTAGCATACATTAGTTATACAGAAGGGGATTTCATGGTTACATTTGGACACATGTTTACAATATGTTCCGATCAGCACCCCACCCCCAGCACCCCCTCATCTAGTGTGTTATATATATACATATGGAACAAATTTCATTCTGTCTGGCTTGAGGTCAAAATAATGATCTCTCCCTGTGGTCAGTGACTGCCACTTCTGCATGATGACCACCAGGTGGCAGATTTACACAACCTCATTAATAACTTCCAGCTCCAGAAATCTCCAGCAATTCTCCCAGCTGGCCCAGCCTGCAAATCCAGCAAATTAATCTATGTTGTGATAATGAGCAGAAGGAGTTCATGTTGGGATTGTTTCTAAAACCAGATGGAGAATACCAGCGGGAGAGTTCCAGCATACTACTAAATCACAGGTCACTGAGATGTTTAGAGCAGGTGTACTCTTTCTGTATTCTACAAATGGCATCAATGCAGGGATCCTGGGTCTTATTAACTGTCCCCCATTGACTCCCAACATATAATTAGCATCATCTTTGCAATTCAGATCTACATATTTTCACTTACTGTTAAAGAGCTCAGCATCTCCAGGCCTCAGTTTTCTGGGGGTGAAATGAGAGCAATACTGATTTCATATCATTGTTGGGGGGGGGGAGCTGGATTAGGTGCAATAATTCATGTAAAAAAAAAATCCAAAGATGGGAGTGGCTATGATGGTTAGCATCTTGCACCTTGCCTGCCTCCTTTGGGTCTTCACACCAAATTCTCCTCTTTTTTCTCCAACACCTATCCTAAAACAGAAACCTCAAAAGAAAAGAGGGAGAATGGGGCTGGGAAGGTGGCTCAGTGGTAGAGTGCTTGCCTTGCATGCATGAGGCCCTGGGTTCAATTCCTCAGAGCCACATAAGCAGAAAAAGCTGGAAGTGGCACTGTGGCTCAAGTGGTAGAATGCTAGCCTTGAGCTGAAGAGCTGAAGGGTAGCGCCCAGGCCCAGAGTTCAGGCCCCACTACCGGCCAAAAAAAAAAAAAAGGGAGAGTTTAGATTTCAATATGGTAATAACCATGTCAGTTCTGGGTGCAGTACTTTATAGACCCTATGATCTCTTTCGTTGCAAGGTGGGGACAAATGAGAAACACCAAAGCCTTTGAAGAGCCAGGGGGCACTGGCAGGACTTTGTGTATGGAATTGTGGTTCCCAAACACACTGAAGGGCTTATTTTAATGCACCCCAGTTGCCAGTTGAGTGGATGTGGGGTGGGGCCCAATAATAAACACTGCTGACAGGCCCCTTGGTGATGCCAATGGTGTGGGTACATAGAGCATAGTAAGGTCAGGAGGGGAATAGACGAATCAAGGGTGTGGGTTTGGGGTCAATCTGGACCTCCTTTTCTGGCTTAATGTAGTTAGTGCTAGCTCTGCAATCTTGGATAAATTATCATCCATAAAGAAGTTATTGGGCAAGGGTAACTGGGCTAATATGGTCTGGTATGCTAGATCTCAGACTTAACTGTTCAGGGTAGGAAGCATTGGGATTTATTATTATTGTTATTATAAAATTATTTTGCCAGTCCTGGGGCTTGAACTTAGGGCCTGAGCACGGCCCTGGGCTTTTTGCTCAAGGCTAGCCCTCTACCACTTGAGCCACAGCACCACTTCCGACTTTTTCTGTTTATGTGGTACTGAAGAATCGAACCCAGAGCTTCATGTGAGGCAAGCACTCTACCACTAAGCCATATCCCAGCCCAGCATTGTTTTTTCTTTTTTTAATTAACTAAAAGATTTTGCGCTGGGTGGCTCATGCCTGTAATTATAGCTACTTGGTAAGTTGAGATCTGAGGCTTTGCAGTTTGAAGCCAGCTAGGGTGGACAAATCTGTGAGACTTTTTTTTTTTAAATCTCCAATCAACTAGCAAAAAAAACTGTCTCAAGTGGTAGAGCACCAGCCTTGAGCAAAAAGTTCAGGACAGTGCCCAGGGCCTGAGTCCAAGCCCCAGAACTGGCGTGCACCCCCCCCCCCACCGATGCAACCAGTACTAAGGATTGGTTTAGAGCTATGGTTCCCAAATTTTAGTATGCATGGGAATCACAGATTGCTGGGCTGCACCTCCTCCACCCCCCTTTCTGACATATTAGGTCTACAGTCAAGATAAGAATTGGCATTTCTAGCAAGTGTGCAGGTGCTGCTGGGTTGCGGACACTAGTCCATACCCATCAGTGAGGAACTTTCAGAGCTGGAGTTGTTGAATCTTGGCTTGCTTAGCCCAACCCGTGCATAACAAGGCCTTGTTGCTCTAGCAAACCCACCTGCTGGGAGCAAGGCTGGACCCCGAGGAACAGGCTGTTCTAGAACATGGGAACATAGCATCCAGGGGAAGAGTGGGTCCAAGGCCTGGATAACTCAGAGCCCAGGAACAAGATGCATAGTTGGAAGCCAGGCCTCTGGCTCAATACAAGGAACACGTTTTAACCTTGAGAACTGCCCTGTCTGAAGATGGCATCCGCTTCCTCTTTCAACAGCCGGTTTCCTTCCCTGTGTGTGACCTGAGGCGGGTAGGGGAGAGTAGTCCAGACGAAGTGGGGAGCAGGGCAAACCAGAGATGCGTGAACTGGAAGGAAGATCGCTATGTTCCCTTTGAAATCTGAGTTTACACATGCCCGCTGCCACCCCCATTAATCCAGAAGCTTTGTTTATTTAGGGAGGTGTTGGTCTGGAGCTTTCCCAACGGGCTGGTTTCGGGTGGTTGTTGTTTCTTCCTACCAGAAAGCAGGTTACTTTTCTTGGGCATAGACAGGCAGAGCACTGGATAAAGCCAGCAGGTGGGCAAGGCTTGGGGGTGGGGTGGAGGTGGGGGCGCAGGAGGCGCCAGGGGAGCAGTACCAGAGCCCCTGGACCCTGCCCCGTGTGTGAATGGGGGTGATGCTGGGTGACCCATCCCCGGAGGCCAAACCCCGTCTGTGTCCGACAGAGAGTGGGGAGAATAAGGGAAGAGTCCAGCCCACGCCGCTCTGGCCACATCAGAGCACCAAGAGAACACCACGTCTTTATTACAGGAATTCCTATGAAACCGCTCCAAGGAAAAAACCACAAACCACACACGGGACGGGGGTGGGGGGAGGATAACAAAGCACACGCACACGCACGCGCGCGCGCACACACACACACACACACACACGCACGGACTTGGAGCTGCGGCTTCTCCTGCACGCCAGGGCGCACGCGCTCTGACCACTGCCGGAGGCCCAGACTCCCCCGCCCGGAGCTACAGCTAGCGGCCTGGGGGGCGGGGGAAGGCGGGTCGGGAGGGAAGAGCTCCTAGGCGAGCGATCCAGGAGGGCGGACACCTCCTCTTGGCTGGCGGCTGCGCTCCGGATCCCGCTGCACGCGCCGCCGAACTGCACGCTTCCAAACTTGGTCACTCCGGCCGCGCCGCCCAGCCCAGCTAGGGATTGCGGGGGGAGGGGCAGCTCGGTCCCCCAACCCTACCCCTGAATCCGAGCAGGGATGGGGTAATCTTTTCTCTCAGGCCCCTCTCCAGACTTCCGATCCCCTCCCCCAACCCCCAGTTCCACCGCAGCGGGAGCCTCCTGCTGCCCGATCTGACGGATGGGCGGGAAAAGGCCAGCTCGTTCCCAGGTCCGGGCCCCGGGGCCATGAGCCCCGCCCCCGCCCCTTGGCAGTGGTTGGTGCCGGTTGAGTTCATTTAAGAGTTCATGGAATCAAAGTTTTCCTTTTCAGATCGCCGCCGCCTGGATTCTCCCAGCCAGGCTGGCCACTTCTTCACCTAGGTCCTGCCCCCCCCCACCTTCTGGACGGAGTCACCCCTGAGTCTCCCGCTGTCACACCCCCTTAGGACACAGTCGGACTAGTCCAGCTACCCCAGCTCCTAAGAGCCCCCACTGTATGTAGTGTGTGTGAATCCAGCGCTGCCTTTTGGACTTTGGCCAAACTAAAGACCTTACAAGACTCCTTGGGCTCCAGGGCAGGGGAGAAGGGAGGGAGGGGGGGATCCTCCTCATCCTTGCTTGGTGAAGCGGAGGTTGCCAGGCTGTGCCAGCCCCTAACAAGTAGCTCAATGAGCCAGAGAGGGCAGGCAGCAGATTCCACCTTGTGATGCCCAGGGCTGTCCCTAGCAGAGCAGGGGTTGTGGGGAGGGTCTGTTGCCAGGGGAAAGGCTGGGATGTAGGAGAGCTTGGGAAGAAAAGGAGGAGGAGTACCTCAAGGAATCTGGGAATGGGGTAGATCAGGCAGCCTGTGGCCTGCCAGGAGAGGTGAGGAAGGGGGACAGGAACTCCTCCTTCAGGCCCAAGAGCCTCTGGTAGTGTCATCCTTTGCTTTCCCCAAACTTCAATCTTTGTGCTTCCTGGGATTTTTGTTTTGTTTTTCCTTTAAAGCAGGGAAGGGGTGGTTCCTGTATTTCTGTTCATTGCCCACAGAAAAGCCTGGCTATAAAAGGGGGCTGGTCACTGGCTGCTGCCTTTGGGGCCCCAGGTCCCTCTTCCAATCTCAGGATGGCAACTCCGAAGTTCTGAGTCCCGCAGTAAATGGCAGTGGCTGAGCTGGACTGTGGCCGGAGAGCCCTGGGCCTTCATATGCAAGCACCATCTGTCCGGCTGCAGCTGGGCCCTTCAGCTGGGTGCCGGTGTTGCTGTCTGGCAGCCCTCACCGGGTCAGAACATCTCTGGCGAAGCAGAGCTGCTGACACCTAGGAGGAAGAAAGGACAAGTGTTTAGAAAGAGATTCTTGGTCTTCCTTGATCACTGGTTCCTAGAGAGACAGTTCAAGGCAGAAGCTACCAAACAGTCCCCTCCTTTTCCCAGCTCTAAATCAGTGTAGGAACTCCTTGTTGCCCAGAAACCTGCAGGAACTGACAGGAGATAGGGGGAGGGAGAGATGGGAAGGGTAGGAGGCTTCATAGAAAGGGCTCCCAAGGTGGGACATTTTGTGATAGGCTGGTAGCTTAGATGAGCCACATCAGAGACAGAAGGACAGAGAAGTAAACTGGAGCCAGGATTTGGTGGGACTAGACATCAGGTTGAGGAATTTTTGTAAGACTTTGCTCAAAAGATCCAGTCATCTGGGAACCAAAGACTCATGCCTGTAATCCTATCTACTCAGGAAACAGAGATCTGAAAATCAAGGTGCAAAGCCAGAGTAAGTCCATGAGACTCCTGTCTCTAATTAAACCGCGTGCACGTGCGCGCATACACACACACACACACACACACACACACACACACACACACACACAGAAGCTGGAAGTAGAGTTGTAGCCCAAGTGGCAGAGCATCAGCCTTGATCAAAAAACGCTAAGGGACAGTGCCTATGCCCTGAGTTCAAGCCTTAATGCTGGCAAATAAAAAAAGGGCAGGGGGAGGTGAAGTAACACCAAAGTAGTGTTTGGGCAATGGGATAAACAGAGATAGGGAAGGGACCAGGCTGCCTAGTGGTGATGAATCTGTTGGGGTAATGGTGAAGGAATAGGGAAGAGGAACAGAAAGAGGAATTGGGGAGGAGAGACTGGCTCCACTGAGCTGACATTCAGGACTGAAAAGACAATCATGAAGGCAGGTGGGGATACAGAGCCCATCTGGAGGAGTAACTGCACTGGGGTCTTGGCGTTTGGAGCCAACTGCTCAGAAGAATTGTGATGCTATGACAGAGGGCAGTAGTGTTACCAGAGAGTGGGCAGGAAGAAGCTAGAAGAGGGCCAAGGACTAAGAGTGGAAGGACCAACAGAAGCCAGGGAAGAAGGAAGGAAAGGGCTCCTGAGGTCATAGGAACCAGGGGAAGGCTTTCAGGAAAGAACCAGGGACACTGAATGTGGAAGAGAGTTCCAGAAAACAGGACAGGATACAGTCCTGGAGCTGGCAGATGACCTCCTTGGGTCAGTCCCCTCCTAGATGCTATGCTGCCAGCTTGCTGAGAATGGACGAGGATGCCCCTCTCTTGGTGGGTGCGAAAGGCAACAATAAAGACTCCTGGCTTTTACAGTGGAGGGGAGGAGGAAGTAAACTTGAAGAGCTGTGAAGGATAAAGCTGGAAGACCCTGGAAAGAAAGGAATGATGGACAAGGTTCTGAGATGGGGTGGCTTTGGGGAGAACATTTTTCCCAGGGTACCGGAGGGAAGGAAGAGGGGTAGGAAATAGTAGCAGCATCACATGGGAGTGAGGCTTTCTCTTGGCATCCCAGAGAAGAAAGAAGCAGGGGTACAGTTCTGTGGGTGAGAAATCTAGGAAGAATGGGAGAAAGCTAGAAGTGCCTGGGGAGGGATGGAGTAATGAGCTGGAAGGGAAGCTAGATGCTCATGTGAAGAGTATATTTACTGCTAGGCCCTCTGTGCCCTGATATATCTTGTCTGCACCATGACTGTTCTGATGAGACCAAGGATTTCCACAAAGTCTGAAACAGAGGCTGGAGTAGCTCACACCTGTAATCCTAGCTATTCACAAAGCTGAGCTCTGAGGATTGTGGTTCAAAGCCAGCATGGGAAGGGGAGTCCCTGAGACTCTTATCTCCAATTAACTACCATGCCAGAAGTGGTGCTGTGGCTCAACTGGTAGAGCACTAGCCTTGAGCAAAAGCAAAGAAAGAAAGAAAGTCATGCATGAAAGCTCAGGGACACTACCCAGGCCCTGAGTTCAAGCCCCAGGAACAGGAAAGAAAAAAAAAAAAAAGACTGAAACAAGAACACATTTGCCGTACCACAGCTCAAGAAAGCCTGGTAGATGCTGACTACTGGGACCAGGAGAACAGCTGGAGGTAGGGCAGGGTATCTGGATTCTGGATGAGAAAAAAGGGGCTGGAAGAGGGACAGGGGTGCCTGGGTCCTGGAGGAAGTGTCAGTTCTCCCTATTTCCCCCACCGCATCCCGTTCCTGAGAGTGCACGAGACAGGAGGAAAGGTAAGCCAGTCTTGAAGATTCAGCCAGAAGTAGCTGCTTTGGGAAGGCCCATTTCTAAGTCTGCTGTGGACAATGCCAGATGACCCAACCTAAGTAAGGGACTGGACACTGTTCTGTGTGTGCATGGCCACCTTAATTTTTCTTAAATTGCCCTCTCAGTATGCATTTTGTGTGCAGTGTGTATGTGTGTGTGTGTGTGTGTGTCATGGACTGTTTTCTCAATGGGACTCTAAACTATTCAAGTTTGTTTTCCTCCTTCCAGTCTGTGTCACAGGCAGATGTGATTCTTTTTGTCAAGTGAATAAATAACCAAATAAAATAAATGCCATGCAGAAGCCTATGTTCCCTACCACAACTATAAAGAAAGAGAGTCAGGATCATCACTATCCAGAGCCAACACTACCGGACCCCTGGAAAGGCAAAAAGAGAGAGAGCCAGTCCCCGTGCAGTTGTAGTGCAGGTCTTACCACTACTGTCCTTCCCGAAGGGCCTCCTCCACCTTGGACATCTCTTGCCGCCTTCCTCGGAAGTCTTCATCTGAAAGGCAACCGGGGGTGACCTCATTCCCCATTCTGCAGTGCCTGGCTCAAACACATCTCAACTGGAGCCAGAGAGCTGCCCCAACTTACTCTGCCCCTTTGGGGTACATGCTGATTCCCAGGCAGTGATCATGAGTCTGGGAAGAGAAGTAACAGCACCTAATGCTGGCCTGACTCCTACCAAGGATCTCTGAGGCCTTGCTCAGGCTCTTCCTTCCTGCTTGGGCCTCGTCTCTCACTTATTATATGGGATAGAGATGTTGGGCTTCCAAGACCTTGAGCCCTTGTTTCTGGACATCTCCTGGCCTTTTTTTTTTTTTTCCTCTGGGTCGCGGGGCTTGAACTCTGGACTTGGGTGCTGTCCTTGCGCTCTTCAGCTCAAGGTAAGCGCTCTACTGCTTGAGCCACGGCACCACTTCCGGTTTTCTAGTGGTTTATTGGCGATAAGAGTCTCACGGACTTTCCTGTCCGGGCTGACTTTGAACTGTGATGCTCAGATCTCAGCCTCCTGAGTAGCTAGGATTACAGATGTGAGCCACCAGCACCCGGCTGTCCCCTGGCCTTTCAAGGGAGCTTCGGCATGCAGATCAGGGTTCAGCTGTGAGTGGCCTGTTCTGAAGCGGAGTCTTCTGGCCCCAATGGCCTTTGGCAGGCAGCAGGCGAAAGCTGAAATCCCCTGGATCCTCATACTGAAGCTGCCTACCTTGTGGTTCTCCCTGTGGGAGACCCACCTGTCTGCCCATTGTACCCCCAAGGAATGCTGCCCAGGAATGGTGCCTGGCACTCAGTGCTACAGGTAGAGATCTGAGTGGAAGCAGGGTTGGGCCCTCTTTTAGGAGCTGCAGGAAGGCAGATGTACTATGCCCAAGCAGAGGGGAGTCCATGTTTCTTAGCCCAGCCCTTGATGTACCCCCATGGTTGTGTCTCTTCCTCCCTGACATAAAACTCAGGAGCTCCTCTTTTTGAGGGGAGGGGAAGGGCCACCCATCACAAGCAAGTTGGAGCTCAAAAGCCGCCCCCCCCCACCTCCTCACCACAAGCATGGCCCTCAACGTCATCCAGGAGGTTGGCCGTTGACGCAGCAGCCCCCAGCCTGCCAGGTCGTTCAGGAAAACTGCCCCAGAGATGAATGGACAAGCACGGTGTCCATTCTATGCCACGGCCTGCCCTACAGCTGTTCCCAATCCCCCAAGGTCACAGGTTTCTTCCATATCTCCTATTCCCCAGCACCCCAACACTGTCCTCACCAGGCTCCTTTCTCAGAAGCAGCTGCACACCCAGGCCCTGACTTCCTCACTTTCCTCCCACAACTAGTAATAAAATCTCCCTACTCCCCTTTGCCCATTCAGCTTTTAACATCGGGCACTGCTGGACAGGCATGGGTAGTTTGTACATCCATATGGAAAGGTATTATTCGCAAGGAACTGGGAGTGAAAAGGTGGGTCTCTGGAGAAGAGTTTGCAGAAGACCAACACATGGACCATTTCCATGAAAGGAAATAGGGAACGGTTTGCTGACCGCAATGGAAGGACCAATTTTTCTCCCAAGATGCAGTTTATCCAAAACCCAAAGAAGAAAAAAGAAAAAAAAAACTATAGAAAGGACAATTTCATTGTCTGCTCCCCACACCTGAACCCAAGTGCTCTGGGAGGGGGCAGGCTGGAAGAGTAGGCCCAGAGAACAGAGTGGAGGCATCAGTGCTGGTTTCCTCTTGCTGAAGACATAGCCTCCATGGGTCCAGCGGGGGCAACCACCACCCCGCCCGGAGCCAGGCAGAAGGAAGGATACAACGGATGCTTTGGCAAGTGTCTCCTCTTTGACTTCCTCATTTTGGTCTTCTCCGAGAAGGCCCGGGCCAATTCAAACAGCTTCCTCCGGGTGGCTGGAGCAGAGAGACCTGTGAGCCTTTCATTCTCTTGGCAGCCAGAGCACCAGATGGCCTCCCTCCAGGTCTGACAGAGACCGGGGCAGCTCCAGGCCCCTGGGGTAGGAGCTGAGGCAAGAGAGGTGACAGCAATCACAGACAAGGGGCACCACCTCCCAACCTCGGGGAACAAGGCTGCGATTCCAGGTCGGCCTGCAGGGGCAGCACAGGCCACCACAAGCCAGGTCCAGGGTTTGTCAGCAGCCCAAGATCCGGGTATTCCTTCACCAGTGGCGACAGCCAGCCACACGTCTTGCATTGCTTTCCACCCAAACCTCTTCCTGCCCCTCCCCTGGCAGAGCTGTTCCTGGGATTTCCATGACTAATCCGCCAGTTTCCCAGAAATGGAGCCTCAAAGGGTAGCAGCCTTATTCACACTGGCTGTAGGGCTGGGGGTGATGCAAGGGGAAGGGAGGGGGCTTTCAAGACGGGCAGGACTGTAGGTCCTCCCCAGACTCCCGCCAAGCCCTCAAGCCACAGACAATGTGCACACGGATGTCAAGACAAAAGGATGCCCACACATTATTTCTCTGCAGACAGCTGGCTCAAGAGGATTTAAACTCAATTTGTGTCTACAGAAACGTGAGGCAGGAAGGCTGAGGGAGCCAAGCCTGTGATTAAAATGTCATTCCCATTTGCCAAGAGTCAGGGGCATTAAAAATTCAGGGTGGGGGAGAGGTTCCTTTCCTCCCATGAGGCCACAGGGCCTGCCTCATTAGCCCTGGGAAGAGGAGGGAACGTAAGCTGGACTCACATTTTCCCATATGTTTCAACTTGTCCCTGAATAAGGCATCTTCAGACACAGCAGGGTTGGGATCACTGGTTCCTGGAAAGAGGAGGTACCTGCTGAGGGATGGAGCCCTTTGGGTCTCAGGTACTGCGATGAAGGGAAGGGCAAGCAGCTACCTTGATGAGGTGGGGCAGGGGGAGAGGGGGGAATTCTTGCGCTCCATAGTGGCTGTTCTCAGCCTGTCTTTCCATTTGAGCAAGAGGATAAGGCTTCTGACAGGTGTTGGTGGCTCATACCTGTAATCCTAGCTACTCAAGAAGCCAAGATCTGAGGATGGTAGTTCGAAGCCAGCCAGGGCAAAAAGACATACAAAAAGAGTGCAGGCCTCTTTCCCAGATGGAGGGGTTCTAGAAATACTTCTCCCCCCCACCCTTGCAAGCTATGTTGTTCTCCTCTGTGAAAATGTTGACTGTCTTAAGAGTGGAGAGCTGGCTGGCAGGGAATACCAACCAGCCACTTCTCTGGCCAATTCTACTTTCTGTGAAGTCATGCGAACAGTTTGAAATGAGTGGTGGCCTGGGTATTTACATGATGGAAGTCACCAGACACCACAAACCTGCCTCCCTCCGCACCCACAGCAGGTTAGCCAATTCGCTAGCACAGCTGTCCCGGCATCCTGATACGCATGAGTCAAAGCAGGAACAAGGCAGAGCAAGAAATACCAAGGAGATCCCCTTCATCCTTCCATGGCTACCATCTGTCCCGCCCAGCCTAGACAATGAGAAGGAATGAGAATGGGGCTATGGCAAGCATCAGGCCCAGCCTCTGGACTCCCTCAGCACAGAACTGCTTGCATTTCTTACTGCCCTTCTAAAGCCACCACTCCCCACCCGGCACCTTGGCTAATCCCAAGTCACCTTGCCTGCTAAGTCCCCTTTGAGTCATTCTGATCCATCTCAGCAGCCCTGGTGTCTGGTTAATTCGGGATCAAGGACAAGAGGCTCTGTGGAAACTCCCAGATGCACATCTGGTAAAGACTAAGCTCCCAGCCTCTTGCTTACAAATCAGTTCTGTGGGATTTGCTCTGTCCAAGCCGGGATCAGTGGGCTCTCCATCCTTCTGCCCCTCCATGCCCCACTCCACTGCCTGAGGGAGGGGTGGTTCCAGACAAAGCTGCTGAGTCTCTTGGAGGAGGTGGGTGGAGAGTGCAGTGACTAAGAGCCATTTGGCCCACACAGGTGGCAGAGTCCAGCCCCAGCTCAACTCTCTGGTCCATGAATCCCACTAGTACTCCTGCCTAGCCCTTGGCCCATCTCAGCCATTAAGACTTCTGAGACAAAGGGCCTGGCTGGCTCTCTTGAACTCAGTGCTCCAAATTCCTTTTGCTTCAACATCTAGGGCAGGGCTTGGTCCATGGCAGATATTCCCCAGTTACTTAAGAGATAAACAATTGAACCCTTTCCAGATTAATCCTACCCTCCTCCTGTCCATGCATTTGCTCAGTTAACACGTGTCTTGCTGGCTTTGCTGGTTTGCTTTTCCCTATCTTCATATAAGACGGCGAGCTCCTTGAGCATACAGATCAAGGATCGCAAGTCCCCATTTGCTTCCAAGTGACATTTTATGGTTCGATGCAGCCTCCCCCCACCATCTTTCCCTCTCCACTCCCCGCAGAGGTGTAGTTCAGCCAGCCTGTGTTAACCCCCAGCTGTGGCATTAGCAAGAACCCCAGATAGCTTACTCCATAGGAAATGTCCCCTTCCAGCCTGCTGTACCATCTCAGGCCCCTACCCACCATCTGTTTATTCACTCTACCCCTAACTCCATGTGTGCAAAGTAAAGCTGGGGTGTGAGTTCCTCACTTTCTCCAGGGTTCTCTGGTGGGAAAGCAAAGTTACCTTGGACCGAAGAGGGAAAGCCAAAGTCATTTCCGACAGCCACACTGCTAGATTTGGATTTCTGGGACTCATACTTCAAGCGATCTGGAAAAGGAACATGTTCCTTCTGTCAGAGAAGTAAGCTCCAGGGCTCCCAGGAAGTATGCTGCAGATTGCCAGAAGCCTGAACCCCTAGAATCTCACACAATTGCACACAAGACACTACCAGCTCTTGAAGAACCAGTGAAAATGAAAACGACTGCCTGGTTCTAACATTCTGGAATGTTCAAATGGCAGGTAGAAGTTCCCAGAGAGACTGTGGAGATCAGCAACTCTAGAAAGACTAACACCTCTGTTGCAGTGTGGGACCAACCTGAACGTCCCCTCCCTCTAGTCCAGCACCCTCGCAGAACAGCTTGTTCCTCCATGACAAACACACAATAGTCTCAATCTCTCTGACTTGCACAAGGTACTCTCCACACCCTTTCTCCATACCCTACCCTAAACACCCTTCCTCCTGAAGAGGAAAGACAGCTAGGCTGGAAAGCAGGGCATCCCATTCTGCCTTCCACTCTGGCAGTTACCATTCTTTCTGCCCTATGGCTGAAGCTGTGCTCTTATCCCTGTAGCCCTGGGCAAAGACCAGTGCTGAACACAGAGCAGTCGTATAGGGGTAAAGGAAAGGCCTCAGTGGGTACACCATCCTCCCTCTCCCTCTCTGAGTCCCAAGGTGTTTCTTACCCTGTTGACAGAATTTTGGTGTCCTCTGATAGAAAGTATGGTGTGGACCATACTTTCAGCAGGACAGAAAGGACCTGGCACCTTGGTCTCCAACACAACCTGAACTCTAAGGCTAAGTCTTATATCACTTCCTTCTTCAGCCATGGGGCAGCAGCCACAGGGCCCATTTGGTACCCACCTCTCTCCAGTGCAAGGAGGAAGTCCCGGTTGCGCTGTAGTTCCTTCATGAACTCCTCATTCTGCAGGAAAAGCGCAATCCTCTCGTCCTCCAAGTACTGCTTCCAGCGGCTGTCCTGGTCGCTAGCCATCGGCGCAGGGACAGGAGGTATGCTTCCCTCTCCACTCACAGGGTTACCCTGAAGAGGAAGCAAGCATGCTGCCCAATGCCTACTCATTTGTCCTGGGACTTGAACTCAAGGCCTAGGTGTTGTCCCTTCACTTTTTGCTGGTTAATTGGAGATCAAGAGTCTGGCTTTGAACTGCAATCCTTGGATCTCAGCTTCCTGAGTAGCTGGGATTATAGGCATGAACCTCCAGCACCTAGCTGAATGCCGACTCTTGATGGCACACTGCGTACTAACATCTATGCACATGTACGCATACACATAACCTTCCCCAGATTCCTCCAGCCCCACCCTGAGGTGCACACCCCTCCAGTGGGATGCACTTGTCAGCCCAAATCCCTAACAGGTCAGAATCTTCTCTGCAGCAGCAAGGGCTTAACATCTATTTTTCCTCTTGACCTCAGATTACCTCATTTTTTTCATCTATATCCTCAACAGTTCTGAAGAGACTTACAAAGTGCTCAAACTCCTATCTCTCCCTGAATCAGCAACCTCACATGAGACACATATACTTCACAGGACCATCTTGGGACATGCCAGCATCTGGAGAGAGGCTGCCTCTGGCCCTTTCCCAAGGAAGAGAAAAGAAGTGCCCTGGCTCTCTGCTCTTAGCTACCCCATACCCGCTCCCTCCAGCCCAAGGTGATGGCCTTAGCCAGTCTCCAGCCATCACTTTCCCTGAATCAAACAGGAAGCCACCAGGCCCAGACAGGAAGTGAGGCTTTTGGTTCAATGCCCCTTTTCTACAAACCCAGAGCAACAGAAATAGCTCAACCAGAGCTTAAAAATCAGGAAGCAAAACTGAATCAAACCAATCGTGTGGGCAAAGAGAGATGCTGGACAGGCAGGTAGGCCTGGAGGGTGGGGAGCAGTTACCTGCATGCTGTCTAGCTGCTGGGGCAGAATACGCAGGAAGTCATCAGGGAGCTTGCCCAGTAGCGGTGGGTTCCAGTTCCGGTAGCGCCTCTGACTTGCAGGGGGTCCTGAGCTCAGAACATCAATCCTGGGGAAGGGGGTGATAAGGGGAAGTCATCTCAACTACAGGCCTGGTGGCCCATGACACCAGCTCACAGCCCTCTCTCATCATCACAGGCTCTTTTCAATAAGCCTTGGCTTTGGGCTGACAGTCATTGTTCTCCCTCCTAGGTCTCTAGATCTCACTGTACTGATGTTGATGTCCTGGATTTACACACAGGGGGTCATGAATGTCCTATGCAGATGGCATGGGTCATATCCTTCTGTGCTTATGTCTCTAGCCCCTAGCACACATCAAGCTCGTGGCTGAGTAACAGGTGTGGTCCAAGGAATAAACACAGAAACCCCAGCCTGATGTATGGGAAGGGAAGAAAACAAGACCTCTAGAGAACAGAGCAGATCTGAGCTCTCATTCTGCCTTAACCATAACCAACAAGTGGGCTTAGGAAGACCCTGTTTATCTCTTGGACTCAGTTTCATCCTCTAGAACTTGTTGCTTCCCTGCCAAGAAGGAGGGGGCCCTCCTAAGCTGCATCTTGCACAGCCTTCTCTTAGCACTTATTGGCTGATTATCCACCTCATGTGTGTGTGTGTGTGTGTGTGTAATGTGTATGTGTGTGCACGTGTGCTGCCTGTGTGCTTGCACACAACAGTACTGAAACTTGAACTCAGGGCCTGGACACTCTTCATTAGCTCTTTTGATCAAGGCTGGTGCTCTACCACAGCTCCATTTCTGCCTTTTTCATGGTTAATTATAGCTAAGAGTCTCACAAACTTTCCTGTCCCTGCTGGCTTTGAACCACGAGTCTCAATTCTTAGCTTCCTGAATAGCTAGGATTACAGGCCTGAGTCACTTATGCCCAGCTGGAAAGCTTTTTTTTTTGCCAGTTGTGGGGGCTGAACTCTGGGCCTGGGTGCTGTCGCTCAGCTCTTCAGCTGGCACTGTACCACTTGAGCCACGGTGCCACTTCTGGCTTTTTCTGCTTATGTGGTGCTGAGGAATGGAACCCAGGGCCTCAGGCATGCAAGGCACTCTACCACTGAGCCACCTTCACAGCCCCCCCCTTTTTTTAAACCAGTCCTGGGGCTTGAACTCTGGGCCTGGGGGCACTGTTCCGGAGCTTCTTTTGCTCAAGGTTAGCACTCTACCACTTGAGCCACAGCGCCACTTCCAGCTTTTTCTTTTTTTTTTTGGTTGGTCGTGGGGCTTGAACTCTTCCTTCCAGCTTTTTCTATGTATGTGGTACTAAGGAATCGAACCCAGGACTTCATGAATGCAAGTCAAGCACTCTACCACTAAGCCACATTCCCAGCCCCAGCTCTTTTTTCTTTTTTTTGAGGGGTGCTCAGGACCCACTCTTCCCAGGCAAGGTATATGACAAGGACCTGGGCCAGGACAGAGGCTCATCCTCAAAAGCTGGGGGAGGGGGTGATGATGAGGCCAGCCTGCAGCTGCCCTGACCCCCCAGGCTCCTGCCCTGGCCCAGGCCTGAGGGCAGCTGGAGCCAGGCCAGAATCTCCCCCACAGTAACTCGGCAGCCTGCAGCGTGGCAACCGCAGGCCACGCGTCCTGCTGAATCAGGGAAATGACACACTGAGAAGGCAGCCGGGCTGGGGGCAGTGGGGGCTGCTCTCTCAGGCAAAGTCTGGCTTTGATTTGGCCTCCCCAGCTCCAGGAATCCCGCCCGCCCCCTGGCTGGAGAGAAGCTTTTCCCCAGCTGCCTCCCAATGTGGAAATAACTTCCTTTTTCTATTTTGGGTTGGTTAGCTGGGTGGAGGAGAGGGGAGGGTGGGGGTAGCAGCAGACGGATAACCAGCTGCTAAGTGCTTGCTGCTTAGGGCCTGGAGCCAAGGGAACCCCTCAAGCTCGGCCCACCCTCTGGCTACAATACAGACAAGAAGGCAGCTGAGGACTCCCAATCCTGAGCCACCTCTGCCCCTAAGGAGGCTTCTTTTCCTGCCAAGGCCTGGGGGGGGGGTGGGTGCTGGAAGGGGGGGTCGAGGGGAGGGTGTCTGGCATTTCTCAGGGCCCAGAAGATCACCTTCCAGGCACAGGGAGCAGAAATCCTCTCCAGGGTCATTACCCTTCCTTAGGCCCCAGGGTAGTCATCTGGGACACAGTGCCAACCCACAACATCTTACAGAGAGGGAGCGCAGGGTTAGGTTGAACCTGGACCCTCTCTAAGTCACTTTGTTACTGAGAGGCCCAGATGGGTGGGATAAGGTTGGAAGAGGCCCTGTGGTCTACCGGAGTCTCCCCTGCTAGCTACTGAGCTCTGGTCCTTGGAGGAAAGACAGGAGGCCCAGCCCCCTCCGGGCCTGGCCCTGGCAGAGATGAGGTCACCCACAGCTGCTGGAGCAGGAAGGGGTGTGGGGCAACCAAGCCCAGGCAGCCCAGGCAACTTCACTGTGGTCAGAAAGGAATGTCAGAAATGAGCTGAGAGGCAGGGGAAACACACACACACACACACACACACACACACACACACACACACACACTAACAACAAAAACTTCCAAGGCTGTAATTTCAATGGAAAAACAGCAGGCGGCCTATGGCCTATTGCCTCTCAACTTCAGAGACTCAGACAGATGGAGGAATGTCAGGGTGGGGGAATGAAGGAGGCTGAGGCAGGGGAGGATTCCCCCTCCCCCCAAAAAAAACTTAGGGCCTCAAATGACAGACATACAAGCACCTTTGGAAGTGTGCAGAGAGAATGTCAGACCTGACTGGGAAACATTTCAGAGACAGTTAGGACTGAGTGAGATCCACATGAGCCAGGCCTTGTCCCAGGCCTGCAGATGGATCATCCAGGGGAAAACTGCCCACAGAGATCCTGGCATGCCAGGCCCGCTCCTGTGGCACGCTCCTACCTCTAAAACTTAGCCCCGTGCCAGGCTCTGACACACATTCCAGTGACCAGATGACAGAAAGGGGACCAGACATGTTGTTCCCCTTCAAATCTGACCACGATCCAAGGCCCAGATTCCTAAAACTACATGACCACGCCACTTTTCAGCTCACACAGCCCCTTCAGCAGTTTCTGTAGCTATGGGGTAAGATGGAAGCTTCTGGGAGGCCAAGTGACCCCAATAATCTCCAGCCACTCCAGACTCATTGAGCTGTTTCATACTTCCAGAAGCTCCCCAGGAAGTTTCCTCTTTCTTGTTGCCAGTCCTTTGCCTGGAACACCTCAGGCTCATGCTAACATGTGTGGTTTCAAGTCACAGCTTGGATAGTTAGTCATCTTCTCTGCCTCTGTGTCTTTGGCTCCCCTCGTTCTGATCTCCATGGACAAGAGAACCAGACAGTGTAGCTCATCTCTGCATCGCACACAGGGCTGAGCATCTGTGTGTTCCAGGGGACTCAATAAAGGCTGGAAGTGAATGCCTCTATGCACAGGCTGAGTAAGGCCCTGGAGCTGACCCAGGGGGAGACCTAGCCTTGCAGGGACATGGCTCCCCTGACCAAGGGGCAAGGCTCTCCCTCTGGTGAATGCTGGACTCTGAGGAAGCCTTGCCACTGGTCTCCATATTCAGGGTCAGAGCTGAAGCTGAAGGCCAGCCAACTAGTGCAGCTGGGGGGGCAGGAAGAGCAATAAACCACTGATTATAACCACTGATTATAGGTCTGCTCTGTTCCTGGTACTGCACTAAGTGTTTCAAATGCCAAATCATATCCAGTCCTCAGAACAGTGCTAAAATGCAAATTAGGAATCCCATTTCAACTGGGTGCTTAGTGACTCATGCCTATAATCCTGGCTTCCCAGGAGGCTGAGATCTGAGGATCATAGTTCAAAGCCAGCCCAGGCAAGAAAGTCCATGAGATTCTTATCTCCAAGTGACACTGTGGTTGAAAGTGGTAGAGCCACAGCCTTGAGCCAAAAGACCTCATAGACAGTGCCCAGACCCCAAGTTAAAGCCCCACAACTGACCCCCCTCCCCTTCAAAAATCCTATTTCACAGATGAGACAAATGAAGCTCAGCGAGATTAAGGAATAAACCAGAGGCCACATAGCAGAGACACCCAATAAATCAGAAATTTAGCTGATGAAAAGGGGTGGGGAAAGCAGTCTGCCTCTCTCTGACTCTACAAGTGAGTCTAGTTTTCTGCAGTGTGTCCACTCCCAAATCAGCAAAGCCTTAATTTCCTGGGTTAGACCCCTGCACCTCAGTCAAGGGCAACAATGTGGCTGAAGCCCACAAGGTCTAAATAAAAGTCTCTCAAGTCTTAACCTGGTGCTGTTTGCCTTGTTTCCAGTGGGGCTCCCTCAGTGGGCTGTACTAACCCTTCCTCACAGCCCCATGCTAGGTCCAGTGGGCTGAACGCCACACTGCTCAGAGCAGGGGAGGAAGGACGTGACCCAGACCCATAGGATATCTGCACTGCCATTCCCTCTTGCCATACTCTCAGTTCTCCCTTCTGAAAAGCAGGCAGAACCACTCTACCTAACAAGCTAATAGTCTCTGAACACTTATATAAATGCATGTTGGGAAGAGAAAGATAGGGAAGGAGGGAGGGAATGAGGAAGGGGAGGAGAAGGAGAAAAAGGAGGGAGGGAGAGAAGAAGGAAGGAAGGGAGGGAGAGAGGGAGGGAAGGAAAAAAAGGAAGGAAGGAAGGAAGGAAGGAAGGAAGGAAGGAAGGAAGGTAGGAAGGAAGGAAGGAAGGAAGGAAGCAAGTAGGTAGGTAAAAGAAAACCTGGGCTCTGTGACCCACCCATTCCATGCTACATGTCCTGTCAGGTCCTGTCCAGCCCCACCCTACTGACCCCTATTTCCCACCCCAGCACAATCTGTATCCCTATACCATTCCTGATCTTTTTTTCTTTTCTTTTCTTTCTTCTTTTCCTTCTTCCTTTCTTTTGGTGGTACTGGGGCTTGAACTCAGGGTCTAGAGTCTAACACTTGAGCCATATCCCTCGACTTTTTGTTCTGTTTGTACTGGGGCTTGAACTCAGGGCCTGGGTACTTTCCCTTAGCTTTTAGGCTCAGGGCTGGCACTCTACCACTGCAGCTAGAGCTCCATTTCTGGTTTTGTAGTGGTTAATTGGAGATAAGAGTCTCATGGTCTTTCTTGCTTGGGTTGGCTTCAAGCTGTGATCCTCAGATCTCAGCCTCCTCAGTAGCTAGGGTTACAGGTGGGAGCCACTAGCACCTGGTTGTATTTTGTTTTTGACATAGCATCTCACTAACTTTGTCTGGGCTGGCCTCAACATCAAGATCTAGCAGCACATCATAACATGGATTCTGGAAAACAAGCAGCTCTCTCAGCTCTAGGACCTGGTTGACAGCCAGTTTTATTTTCAGCTTCCAAATGACAGAGTCCCTAAGGAACTTCACAGTCCACTCTCCTGCCTCCTGTGACCAAACTATCCCAAGAAAAGAGAGACCTTCTCCCGTTACACAGGAATCCTCCCAACAAAGCTGAGTGTGATAGTGCACACTTGTAATCTCAGATGTGTAAGCTACACAGAGGGTGGTAGAACAGCAAAAGTGAGTCCCTATCTAAAACCAAAATGAAAGCAAAAAGGTGTTGAGGAGGGGTGGCTCAAGTGGTAGAGCACTTGCTTAGCAAACAAGAGGCACTGAATTCAAATCCTAGTACTGCCCGCCCCCTCCCAAGTACCCTTACATCTCTACTCCAGCAATGACAAATAGATGGTCATTCCATCCATTTGTGTAGCCATCTGTTTGAGATTCCCATCTGGACTCACCAGGAAGGAGCACAGTGATTAATTAGTAAAAGTTCCCATGGGGCTGAAGAGGGGAAATGTCAGCACACATCCCATGTGTTGGTCCTTCTTACTCCAGCCTCTCCCTGGACTCAGCTCCCAGAAGGCAGAGGCTGGGCCAACCTTCACTGGGTCCAATTTAGCATGGGACATACTAACTAGCCCAGAGGAGGAATTGCATAACTCCTCGCTCTCACAATCCCTATACGCTGTAAGATCTTATCATCTAGCTAAACTGTTTCTTGCTACGGGAGACACCTGTTTTACTGAGATGTCCATCTAAATTTCACCCCGTGTTGGCACACAAGCGACCTTCTGGTCTGTTTCCCGCTCTTCTGCACTGAGACGAGACGAGATGAGTTCTCACCGAGGAGGTGGGGTTGGGGGAGCCAGCGGGTAAGGCCTGTCGAACATGTGCATGTGGTAGGCAGGCGGAGAGTACACAGGCGGCGGCTCTTCGTCAGAGCTATCGGGCTCCAGAGTCCTTTCCAAGATCTAAAGCAAAGACAATCAAAAAAGAAATATTATAATCCATCCTTACATGTAAATGGCATCCAGACAAAACCAAGTACGGTTCCTTATAAGGAACCCTGTGCGTCGCTGAGGGAGTGTAAATTGATACAACGGCTTCTTTGGAAAAGTGGCCTTTATCTACGAACTCTACCTCAGCCCCACAAATCCAGTGGACTCAGCAGAAAGAAAAGCACACATCTCCACAGGAATGTTCATGACAGAATTAAGCATCCAAGGAAGGTTCAGGAACAGGCCAAACACTGCCAGGTGCCAATGGCTCATACCTGTAATCTTAGCTACTCAGGTGGCTGAAATCTGAGGATCATGGATCAAAGCCAGGCCGAACTGGAAAGTCTATGAGATCTTATCTGCAGTTAACCAACAACAACAAAAAACCAGAAGAGGAGTTGTGGCTCAAGTGATAGAGCACTAAGCCTTGAGTGAGAAAGCAAAGGGACAGTGCTCAGGCCCTGAGGGTCCTGTACTGGTGTACACACACACACACACACACACACACACACACACACACACACACACACACGAACAGGCATAACACAGAGATGAGAAGCAGAGCAGTGTGAACTCTGGGATGGATAAGGAAAGGAAGGAACTCGTTCTGCTGAGGATGGTTCTTCATCTGACAACAAAGTGCAGATACACTGTGTGATGTTCACTGCTGGGCTACACAGCTGTGATTTGTGTTCTTTTCCTTTTTATTTATTTTTGCTGGTGCTGGGGCTTGGACTCAGGGCCCAGGTGCTATCCCTGAGCCTCTTTGTGCTCTACCACTTTAGCCATGGTGCCACTTCCAGCTTTTTTTGAGTAGTTTATTGGAGATAAGAGTCTCATGGGCTTTCTTTCCCAGACTGTCTTTGAATGATGATTCTTTTTTTGTTTGTTTGTTTGGTCAGTCGTGGGGCTTGAACTCTCTGGGCTTGGGTGCTATCCCTGCGCTCTTCAGCTCAAGGTGAGCGCTCTACCGCTTGAGCCACAGCGCCACTTCCAATTTTCTAGTGGTTTCTTGGAGATAAGAGTCTCACAGACTTTCCTGCCTGGGCTGGCTTTGAACAGCGATCCTCAGATCTCAGCCTCCTGAATAGCTAGGTCATGAGCCACCAGCGCCTGGCTGAGTGACGATTCTTGTTACCCACATTGCTGTCTATTATCTTAACCTCCAACAGCTTGGCAAGGGAAGACTTGGATCATCACACCCATTTTGCAGGTGAGGAAACTGAGGTCCAAGTTAATAAAGCAATAGCAAAAGTCACCCACTGGTATTAGATCTGAGACTTCCATTTGGACTCTGGTCTTCACAGCCAGGTCTCACCCTCAGGTGCAATGCCTGACCAATCATATTACACAGAGCCTACTCGCCCTTCTGGACTCTTCACTCAGGGGCCAGAAAGAAGGGCAAAGCTTGGGTTTCTGCCACTTGGGTTGACTTAGACCCTTCTTCAGAAGCATCTGGGACAAGAGACCCCTCCATACACACCATGGTCTCCTGTTCCTCCCTGTTCCTCCTCATGGCTCTACTTCCCCACCATGGCTCTATTCTCATCTCCCCCAAGTCTGAAGAACAGGGCAAGGTTCAGAGGCTGTGTGAACCAGCCTCACATTTAACTCCAAGTGAGTTTGTAGAAGTTGCTGCTAAAGCTGCCTCTGCAAGTCTGGGCTGGGCTGCGCTGGCACGTCTCCGCTCTGGACCAGCCATGCCTGGCACACAGTGCCTCCAGGAACACCCCAGGGGTAAGCATGCACAAATGAGCACACGCATGCGCACACCACAGTGCTCTGTGCACACGCAGCCAACCCGACCCAAGGAGGCCTCCTGCTCTGGAATGCGCTAACGTTCTTTCCTCTGAGGTGGAAAGTATTTAAACAGATGCTTCTGCAAGGAAGGAAGAATGTCACTGCTTTGGGGGCTGCTGCTCTGTTTACCCTGTGTTTCCACAAGAAGGAGGCGGCGGTGTGGGGGGGGGGAGGGGACTGTAAGTGCTGTTCCTGCTGGATGGCAGATTCCTCATGATTCCTGAATCCTAGCATAGGGCAGCAGTTCAGTAAGAACCGGTTCCCACAGGGGAACCGGCTACCCCGCTGTCACCCCATTCCTGAAGGAAGGGGTTCCAGGCTGGGGCTGGTCTAGTTGCATGGGAAGGAGAGCTCTGGGGGAACTATTCCCAGAGGAAGCTTGCTGGGGGTTTCCTGTGACTATCAGCCTGCAGCATCAGCCCCCACAAACCCACTCCCTCCACAGCACAGCCATGGAAGCAGCAGCGCCTGCAGAGAGGAATGGCTCCAGAAAGGCAGATTTCCCAGGCCCAGATATCTGGCTTCTCACATGCTTTATGAAGCCCCCAGCAGCAGTTGCTAGTGGCTCGAGCCATCAGGATGAATCCTGGCTACTCAAGAGGCTGAGATTAGAGGATCGTGGTTCAAAGCCAGCCTGGGCAGCCAAGTCTGTGAGACTTTTCCTTTTTTTTTTTTTTTTTGCCGGTTGTGGGG